AAGTTTGCAATGAATTTGTGCCTAAAATTGAAAAGATTTGGAAAGACGCATCAATTCCAACTGTTTCAAAAGACAGAATTGTGTATTATGAAAAATATAAGAATTTAATAAGATATTCCAGAAGCAAGCGAAACAACAGCTATGACGAAAAGATAAATACATTTAAAATAGAATGCCATAAAAAATTACTTGACATAGCTGCTTGTAAATGCGATTTTTCTGCATGCATGTGTGAAAAGACCTGGAAAGTACCTACTAAGGAACAAAATTTTCTTTCTGATCAAAGATCGGTCAGAAAAATGAGCATAGGAAATGTAGATCGTGAAGAAACAAAGAAAATATTGTCGAATAAACAAAGGCAATCCAGAGAAATCGAAAAACTGAAAAAATATGAATCAGAATCTTTATTAAGACCCGGCTGTTCTTCTTAAACTATTACATTATTGTCAGGGTCAGAATCTGACCCCTCAAAATATAAATGCTCTTCAGATGACGACTTTATCAATTCAAATTTACCCTCTACCTCAAAAAACATTTAAATGGGAACAAAGTTATCTACGTTAGGTCTTGTATGCGATAAATATGGTATAACTGATCGATCAGCTGCTGCGATTGCTAGTTCAGTATTAAAAGATGTAGGAATAATTACCAGAGAAGATCCGTCGAAAAAAGTTGACAAAAATAAAGTGAGAAGAGAGCGAAAGAAATCTAGAAATACCGCAAGGAAGGAGTTTGAAAGTGATAACAGAAGAATAAGAAGTCTGTATTTTGATGGAAAAAAGGACAAAACTTTATTGCAAGAGAATAAAAACGGTAGATTATACAAGAAACCTGTTGTCAAAGAACACATATCGCTTAGCGTGGAACCTGAATCTATCTATATTAGCCACGTAATTCCAACTATAGGGACGGCAAAGTCAATTGGAAAAGCAATATTGAACTTTTTTGCTAAAAACAATTTGGAACTATTTGGCGGCTGTGGGTTGCGATGGTACTGATGTTAACACTGGTAATAAAAATGGTGTTATTAGGTATATAGGCTTGACAAAATAAGCGATACGCCACCTACAGTTTTAATTTGAAACCTTCCAGTGGGCCATTAATGTTTTGTTTACTCATGTGATTCAAGCATAATATAGGTTAATCTTACGGTTTCTGTTTGTATATGGTGTTTTAAAGACGTTTAATTGATAAAATTATTGTTTATTTTATCAAAATGAACCATCACTGTTGTGTTCCCATGTGTTCCTCTTGGGCAAAACTAAATAAAGAACTTAGTTTTCATACATTTCCCAAAAAAGGACAAGGTGTTTTGGTAGAAACAAAATTAGGGAAACGAGAAGCTGTTGATCGGAGGGAGGAATGGATAAGAAAATTAAAAATTGGAAAGCCTGTGAGCCCGTACATGAGAGTATGTTCATTGCATTTCTCTGAAAACGATTATTTTTATAGAGGTTAGTATTTAGTCGTTTTTTGTGTTTCCGTATTAATAGTTTTTGTTTGTAGGGGACAGCTCTAAATTACATAGATTAAAATTTAATGCAGTACCGTCTAGGAAGTTACCTTTGGAAGATAAAATAGTATTATGTATTTAGGTTATGGGTTAATGTAATATAAGGTAAACATACTTTTGCTAAATAAATACACTGCCACTATCTATAAAAATGTTTAATTAATACATATATAACCAACACTAAAACTAACAAAATCCTTTACACACTTTAAAAACTGAAAATTCAACACCTAATCTTACGAAAAACCTATGGCATGTCATATGAAAACAAATGTAAACAAACTATAAATGGCCCAGCGGAGGACGAAAAAGTGACCGGTAGAGGCGCTGGAGTCTAAACTTTTTTCGCCTATTGAGACTGAATTGAAACGTCCTTTACAATAGTATATTTGCCAACTACACGCCAACGAATTGCCATTAGACATTTATTCCAACATTTAGATAGTAGTACAGTGGGACCTCGTCAATATTTTGATGAAACCGTGAAAGTCTTTTAGAAAAATTAGTACGTCTTGTTGTAAATCTTAACCTAATAAAATGTGAGTTGCCAAATATAACTTACAATGGCAAATCGTGTTCTTTGGCTCTATGCTGGAACGGAAAAGCCAACACCAAGGCTTACGGATATGGCTGAATTCATAATTCAGTTTGCATGTATTTAAAACGATTGAACAGTCACGGTATTTAAGAGATGATTTAAAAAGTATTGTGGATACGGTAATCCAAAGGAACGCGTATTTTATACACCCCGAAAACATTCTTTTGTGTATGCTAACAGACACTCGTGATTGGGTTCGAGAACTATCTATACGAAAAATCTTAAAAGCTAGAGAAACCAGTCGAGAAACCTTTGAAGTAAAACACTTTGTTGTACCAAAAATTTACACTTTACATCCCAGTGAAATTTAACATTATCTTTAAGTATATTATTATATATTGGCTGTAAAGTAGTACTCAAATTTTGTAGAAAACGACCAAACGACCATAATAATTAACTAAGCCGACAAATGCTCCAATTTCTGTTTTATTAGAAGGAACTTTAGCTTCTTGTATTGCTTCGATTTTATCTTTACATTTATGAATGCCTTGTTTATCAATTATGTACCCACAATATTCTATTTCTTTTGCAAAGAACTGACATTTATAATAATTTATTCTAATATTGTATCTGGCAAGTCTGCTAAAAACAGCTTCTAAATGATCAAAATGAGAATTATCATCTGATCCTGTTATTTTAATGTCGTCTATAAAAACTGAGACATCCGGTATGTCTTTAAGGATATTTTCGATTTCCCTCTGCACTCGCAACCCCATACATTAGTCTAATACTTTGATATAACCCTTTTGGTGTACTTAAGGTAAGGTATTTTCTATCTTCTGGTCGTACTTCCATTTGTAAATATGCCTGCTGTAAGTCTAGTTTTGTAAATTTATCACCCCCTGCCATAGAAGAAAATAAAGTTTCGATTGTAGGTAATGGGTATTCGTCTACAATCAAGTTTCTGTTTAAAGTACATTTAAAGTCACCACAAATGCGCACGTTGCCATTGGATTTTAAAACTGGCACAATAGGTGTTGCATATTCTGATCTCTCAACTTTTACCAAGACTCCTTCTTTTTCAAGATCTAATTCTTTTTCAACCTTTGGCAACATCGCATAAGGTACTTTCCGTGCTTTTACAAAGAAAGGTTGTGAATCAGGCTTTAACCTTAAACTAGCTTGTATATTTGTAATTTTACCCATATCTTTCTTTAAAATTGTATTGTATTTTTGTAAAAGGATTTCTAACTTACTTTGGGTTGATACATATGTAATTTCTGTATTTGTAAAACTTATACCTAAAGCTCTCATCCATTCCCTACCTAACAATGGATGTTTGTATTTACTATGTAAAGCTGATAAGTTGCCTCAACTTGTATAAAACCAAGTACTTCTAGTGTATTTTTGCTGTATGTTATAAGTTTAGTATCAGTTTGTTGTAATTGTAAATTTTGTTTATCAAAAAGGTTTTGATAGTCTGTAAAGCTCTTGCAAGAGGATATTGTTGGTAGCCAGGACTGTCCTATGACATAGAACATTTATGTAAAAATTGCCTTGATTGCAATAAGATTAAAAATAATCCTGCAACTGCGCCAGTACATCACTGGGACATACCAACAGTGCCCTTCGAAAGAGTTCACATAGATTATGCAGGCCCTTTCCTAAATTTTTACTATTTCATATTAGTAGACGCATATACTAGGTGGCCCGAAATTCACATAACTAATAAATATGATAAGCCAGACCACAATTTCTCTCTTGAGGAAAATTGTTTCTACATATGGTATCCCCAAAACTCTAGTTTCTGATAACGCTCAAAATTTTGTTTCTTGCGAATTTAAAAGCTTTTTACAAAGCAATGGCATATCACATAGGTTAAGTGCACCATATCACCCAGCTACCAATGGATTAGCAGAGAGATATGTTCAAACCTTTAAACAATCTCTCAGAGCGTTAAAAGGCAATAGAAGCGAGCGCGAGATGCAACTACAAAAATTTCTTTTGCAATATAGAAAAACGCCGCATACCTCAACTGGAGTTAGTCCTTCCTTTTTACTTTTTGGGAGAGATATTAGATCTAGATTAAACATTTTAATTCCTGAAAATTCTCCAATGACACATGTTAGTACTCAATTACCTTTAGAAAGTGTAAAAGAATTAAAAATAGGTGATAGGGTGGCTTGCCGCGAATATATCCATAACGATAAATGGGAGTTTGGCCACGTTAACGAAACATTAGGAATATTACACTATACTGCCAAACTTGACGACGGTAGACTTTGGAAAAGACACATTGATCAGATTAGGCTGATTGGTATTAATACCCCTAGCATACCCAGACCAATTGAACATTACAACCTTTTACCAAACGACAAACCAATACACCAACAAAACACTGACAGGTTAACGACTGAGGATACTCTGGAGACTGCACCGCCGAGAATAGGTACGACTCAGAATTCTTTACCCATTAAAGATACTGTTTCAAGTGAGACTCTTGAAACAACTGTCCCAAATGATGCTTCCATATTAAGACGTACTACGCGAACGATTAAATCTCCGAACAGACTAAATCTGTGAGGAGAGAGCTGTTGTGTATTTAAATAATACAGGTTATTTTAGTTTTATTGGTTGGTATTGGCTACCCTGCATTTTGACAATCAGGGCAGGCAATTGACATTACATTACTCCCGCACTTTTAATTATTGTTCTTTTTTCACTTACATTACATTGTTATATTGTTAATTAAACGAATACATTCTTCGAATCAAGAAAGTACATTTCATTTCTCTACATATACAATACTCACCAAAACTAACTAGCTACACTATCTCGAGTTTGACATTGAGATAAAAGTGTAATGCAAGGGTGCGGACAATTTAGCATCGCCATCTCCTCTTTATTCTATCTCAATGCCAACTCATGATTAACAAATCATAAACTCACCTTCTACAAATATGCTTATCTTCGTCGCTTCCATCACCGCACTGATTTTTTCCATCGCATAATGCACTAATAGGAACACATCTATGATTCTTACATCTGAATCTACCGGGTGGACAAACGTTAAAGAAACAATTTAGTTCATCCGATCCATCGTCGCAATCGTTTTGGCCGTCGCAACGCCACTGTTCGTATATACATAAACCATTTTTGCATCGAAAACCGTTGTGAGGGCAAGTGTCAGAGCAATTGGCTTCATCTGAACCGTCTGGGCAGTCAACTTCTCCGTCGCATTTCCAAGCTCTAAAATAAAATTTAGAAAAAAATCTGTATTAAATAACCTGTAAAAAAATGGATTTTATATATCGTTGACGATACACCAAATTGGTGACGATGTAATTTTGATTCCACTGACAAGGTGACAGTAGGCTTTTTGAGTGCGTTTTATTCGTTTTCTTTACCTAAATTTATTATAAAATAGATGAAAACTAGTCAAAAAATATTTTGTATTTCGAAAAATCTCAAAAAGTGTTTATTTTACGGAAAACAAACGTTTCAAAATAAATTTTTTAAGTAATGACGCAAAATAGAATTAAAATAACAGACATTTATTATAAAATAGATGAAAAAGCTAGATTGACCAAAACTAGTCCAAAAATATTTTGTATTTCAAAAAATCTTAAAAAGTGTTTTATTTTATGGAAAACAAACGTTTTAAAATTAAATTTTTAAGTAATGACGCTAAATAGGTTTAAAATAACAGAAATTTATTATAAAATAACTACAAGCTTCTCTGAATTAAATCCAAACTGACACTTGAAACGAAGAATAATTGTACCCTCGACATTTTTCCAATGCCTTTAGAAACTTTTTTTATGATCACTTTTTACTGTCTATGATCTGGATACTACAGTAATTGGGAACGTAGAAAAGATATCCATAAAATACTTACAAAAAGATGCAAATTCCTGGATTCGTACACTGAAATTCGTTATTTTTACACTGAATATGGCAATCGACTTCATCTGATCTATCTTCGCATTGATATTCTCCATCACATTTCATATCACCCCGTATACATTTTCCACTATTGCATCGGAATTCTGATTCTGAACAATTTCTCGGAACGCAACCTAAAAAAATTAATTCCGTATTTATCTGAAATATACAGTGAAGTACGAAAAAACCTAATTTATTATTTTATGTACACTTTTTAATTACTTTATACATAAATAATTGTTGACAAATACTGAAAAGCTGAAAAACTCATTTTAATTATTAGTGACATCTATAAAACAATTATATTTAAAATTCACCTTCTTCGTCAGATCCATCTCCACAGTCTCCTTCGTAGTCGCACCTCCAACGCCCTGGAATACATTTGTTGTTCTTGCATTTGAAGTAAGTAGGCTCGCATGTATGATAATCTGGATGACTACAAGTTTTTGGTTCATCTTCTCCTTCAGAGCAATCAGGATCACCGTCGCAAAGCCAAGAATGTGGAATACACCTTCAAGAAAAAAAATCAAATAAAGTTAATATTTATTATTTATGAAGCACGGTACAAAATAATATCTCTTTGTTTTTGGTTTTAGTCTTCGAAATTTTAATAAAAGATCATAATAATATGGTTTCCACTTCCACTATTCATCCAAAATGCACTGTATTAATGATGACGTAATTTGTGTGCCAAACAAAGTTATTCATATAATCGTTTAGTAATCAATTCTGTAATACAATAAATAAAAATAGAAGTTAGGTATTCATTTATTTATTTAGAATATACATTACAGGAACTACATTTCCTAAGTAGTATGCAAATCTTAATCTAAAGTAAACAAAATTTTTGACAAGGGAAGGTCACATTCCTTGCAAGAAATGGTATCGATATCGAGGATCGGCTTGATTTGATCAAGTCAGAGTACACACATGGTGTCTATAAGAACAGTAACAGATGCAGGCAGTCGATATTATTGCTTTCTAGCGTCCATTCTACAAGGGAAAGATTGAATTCTCTACATACAATAAGTGTATGACTGATATATTGTTTCTGAAGTGATTTACGTTACTTGACAAAAAAAATAGCTTTCCAATGGTGAACTTGGAGGAATATATCGAGAGCCACAAGGCAGGACCTCGTAATTCGCAAAATCAACATTTTTCAGAAGATAAAAAAAATTCACAAGTACATAGAACAATCCATTTTACTCTATAATAGGACTAATATTTAACCGTTTTGTTCAAAAATTGTATTTCTTTCCCTAACAGTAGATGAAGCAAAATGTTTTAAACGAGATTACCATAAAATATTATATTCGGTGAAAATGTTAGTTAAGAAGTCCTGCGTTGTGGCCCTCGATAAAGTACATTCCATTATTAAATTAATGTGTCCTTGATTCTAATATCTTCATAATGCGTTGAAGTAGGAGTGTCTAACCATATTTATAATAGAGCTGCTCTAAAGTATCCTAAATTGTCTTGTCTACACCCTTTCTGTGTAATGTCATGTGATATTGGCCAGTTAGAAAGGATTCATGAAATATCTTTCTACTTCCTATTTTCCTACTTTCCATATCATATCATACTAGTTTTCTTCTATGTGGTTATAAATATCTAAAACCAGGCGCAGAGAGGCCCTCATTATATTCTTATTTAAATTTTAAATGGGTTCAATAACAGTGCTTATGCCTGTAACATTCCTAAGAGCTCTATATAGAAACAGGCTATCGTTGCTGTAAACCCTTTCTTAAAAAATGTGCCTCTTAACTATTTAATTTACTGAATCTCTTGAAAAACATCGAATTCTGAGTGGTAGTTTTATTAATTGTATTTACTTAAAAACAAATACTCGTTATCTAATAGTGATGATTTTCTGAAGATTAAATTAGTTTTTTTTTGTAAATATTCTGATTAAATTTTCGTGTTCAAATCATAAATAATCATTATAATCCGGCATCATGAACGTCTCACATTAAATCCTCATGATCCGACTCAAAGGATAATGTATAATAATAATAATAATAATGAGAGTGATTTTATTATTGTGTATTTATAGCAGAATGTTTCAAAATTAAAATGTGCATTGCATTACGTGTATTATGATATCAGTCAAGTATCCAATGACATTTAATTTCGTTTTTTCTTACCTTCCAGAATTGCATCTAAAATGTTGGGCTCCGCAAGTACGAGCATCGCAATCCTGTTCCTCGTCTGAATTATCAGTGCAATCGTTGTCCTTATCACATACCCAAACGGCTGGTATGCATTTATCATTTTGGCACTTGAATTGATTAGGTGGGCAAGTGACGGGTGGACAATTTAATTCATCCTCGGCTCCCGGACAATCGACATGCTTGTTGCAACGTTGCTTGGCAGGTATGCATCTTGGGGGAACTGTTGAATTACCTTCGCATCTGTAAGTAAATAAAAACTTAATGAAAAGAAAATACATTGCACAAAAAAACATTTACGAACCTAAACTGTGTATTAAGACAAGTGTAATGTTGACAGTCACTTTCATCAGAACCATCGCCACAATCGTTTTTCCCGTTACATAGATCTGAAGGATGAATACATTGTCTATTCTGGCACTGGTATTGCCCTGGTGTACACTTAAATGATGGACAGTCTGGAGGCTCATCACTTCCATCACCACAATCGTCTTGTGTGTCACATTTCCACCAAAACGGAATACATTTGAAGTTCGTCTAAAAAGAAAACATTTTCTATACATGTTATAAGTCGAATGGGTATCCTAGAAAAACGTAAAATTTAACATTATTTTGTTTATTTTTGTAAAACTTATTTGCATTATTTTTTCAGACAGTAAATTTTTAGGAATCCTACCACCAGCTGAATGTGTTGTGATATCAGATTTGTTTTTTAAGTAAAAAGAAAAAGATAGAGAAAAGATTTGATATAGGAAGAAAAATATATGAATTCCCATTATTGAGTTTGCACTCAACATTTTTATAAATGAGACACCGTTGGCCATTCGGAAAATAAGAATAAAAATGTTGGTTAAAAATAACGATCAAAAATATTTGTCATGAATAGATTTAAATTAATTATTCGATAATAGACTGTAAGTGTAGTATTTTTATTAATAAATAATTTAGCGTAATTAACATTGTTTAATTTTATTTATCAGAACAACCTTTATTATCAGTATGAAGACTTAGAGAGGAGGCAAATCGGCAATGGTCAAATTTTCCTCCTTCCTGGCATGTCGAATAACAGTGGTGTCAATTTTCTATGCAAGTCAATGTAAAATGAAGTGATTTTTTAAAAAATTGGTGAAAAGAATGAAAATAATGTGAAAAAAAGTACCTTAGCACAAGTAACATGAGTGACAAAAAGCATCAAAGCAAGATTTACGTCGTTCCAGATTGTAAAACAGGATACAAATCAAATGTAAAACTAAAAAAAAAAACACAAGGAGAAATCAATTCAATGTCTTTTTAAAAGTAAAATAATGTATTTATGTCTAAATATAATATTTATTGTAAACTAGTCACAATATGTATCTTACGGAATGTAGTTTATTTTATTATCCAGACTCACAAACAATAATTATACATTAAATTTAACTTACTAGAAAAGAAAATTTATTTTTTGTAGTAATAATGTTAGTTTAAGAGTTGCTACTGTTATTTATTTTGTTGAACCCCAATTGTTAATGTTTTTTATAGGATACTAAACGCTTAGAACAGTGGCCGCATATATGATGTTTTTAGTGCCGATAAAGCACTTTCTAGAGATGATGCTGTTCTATACTTTTTAGAAAATATTATCAAATATTATGAGACTATTTTTACTGATGATACTGTTAGCAAAATAAAAAGGGGAAAGCTGAAATTAAAGGATGAGGTAATAACATGTACATTCCCAAATCTCTTTATATTTGTATTACAACAATAAAAAATCTGTTAACTGTGTTTTATTTTTCTCTTAAAACTATATATAGGTTCAATTCAAAAAAACATTGCCACAAAATTGTACTTATCAAATTTCAGCATTTAACAAACCTTTTAGAATTTGGTCATACCTACCTAATTTGTATTTAATATAAATAAAATTAAATAATTTATCAATTAAAACATGCAAGACTTATTTAGAAATAAATACAACACTATGTTCTGTGCTTTATTTAGCTACAAACAAGTTTATTTTTATTTTTTTGACAAAATTGTGTATAATTCCCATAAGAAGCCATGTATTTTGAACACCGTATGTAATACTAGGGCCCATGCGGTTAATTATAAAAGCTCAATTAGCGTGCGTTTTTTGGGACCGTATTTTGAGTATGCCGATTATTTAATTATAAAAATGTATCTTTTTATGTATCTGCGCTTCCCAGGAATTTCCCGTTTTTAAACAATTGCGAGCGCCCTCGTAATTTAAAATATTTCCATATTTGCCGAAATCCGAATGGGCATTTGTAGAGTCAAGTTTCATGCAAAATTATCTAGGTTGATTGTCAAGGTGTCTTATTCAGTCAGTAGTAAACACACAAAAGCTGGAAGTGGCTTCCCCTACTCCGAAATGGGCAGATACCAAGCTCGTTAGCTGACAGAGCATACGGTGGACAAGAAGATTTGGGCATCTCTCGCTAGTTCTTCAGTTGCCGTAAGCCGAAATCTTTCAGTTCTAGTACGCCGAAGTTTTCTTTCTATTTTTTTTTACCGCCGATCGAGTGATTGTGTAAAATTCGTAGCATTCCGTTTATAAAAAAAGGTAGGCTTACTGCTATTATTTCTTTCTTCTCCCCCCTATTGCATTGCATACCTGAAAGTGCTAATCCCAGCCCACTGAGGCATAATAAAAATCAAGTCGGGAATTTTACGTGTAATAACGAGGCCAAAATTCCCTGAATTAAAATTATTTGCGGATATCCCGAATACATTCTGATCCAGGAAATCTTGATCAACTCGCCGCCCCGTTTGATAAATCAAAGTTTAACGCGAACTCAACCCTGGCAAATTTTCCGAATTGAATGGCTCTGAGAATCACCCAGGTTCATTCGAATTAGAACAATTGCCGGTAGAATGTTGAATCCGCTGTTCCCTCGCGTAGACGGCATCGAAACGAGTTGATTAGTCAAGAGCCGATACACCAATAATTTGTACATTTTAAATGCGAAAGGCCGTCGACCTCGTGGAATGATTTTGTTTTAAAAATTTCGACTGTGCTAGAGATTTACGTATC